GGGCCCCCCCCCCCCAGGAATGGGCTGGACCAGTCAGACAACTTTTGGACTGGGCCTGAATTATTTCTGAAAATGAAACTCTCAGATTATTTTCTTACATAGTGTATGCAAAGTGCATGTGTAATTCTATATGTGGTGATTTTAATGTGTTTCTTTATTTCATCCTCTGAGTCCTGAAAGCTCAGTTGTTGCCCCCAGTCAAAACCAACCTAAAATTAAGCAGGTACTAGTTTGTTTCTGGCTTCAATTGCTAGTCATGGAAGAGTAAGTCACTAAGGTTCAACTAACTACTTCTAAGTATATTCTATTAAAAATGTCCTCCTTTGCATAGCTTAGTGCGCCATAAATTTAAATGTCTGTTTAGCAGTCATTTCTTTTTTTTCCCTTTCTTTCTTTGGGGGGGAAACAAAGATTACTCCAACAATGACATGTCAGGTGAGGAGATAATCTTTTCTTCAGAGACAGGATATCATCTTAATAAGGCAGCTAATAAGAGCGTTCACAGGTCAGAAAGTGAGAGTGACAGAGACGCTTTAATGGAAAACCACCTTCAGCTCTGAGTAATGATTAGATCACAAAAGCTGGTTGAATTAAATTGACTTTTTTTTAGTGTGTGGGGGGATGAGGGTTGTAATTCTGAATATAGCTTTTTTTAAAAATTTTTCTTTTTTTAAACAAGAAACTGATATTCTGCTTTAGAGCTCATGGGGAAAGGGGGAGATTTCATTGCATTTCCACATGGAATGAACTTACCTCCTTGTTAAATGGGTTCTTTTCTCCAAAATTCTTCATCTTCCCAGCAGTATTCGTCCCCCTCCTCCTCTTCTTCCCTCTATAATCCATTCAGTAAAGTAAAAATCTGTGAATATCTTTCATCCATAAATTTAGTGTCTTTAGGTTAAACCCTATAGTACGGAATTGTACTTTGAAAGTATTCCAATGTGAGTCCCCTAAGATCAAGAATTCTTTGTTCAAGGAGATAATCACCTTTCCTCACATTNTTTTTCAAGCAAGTTATATCTGCAGTAGCCTGTCACTTCCCAGATGGGTCTATTTAATGCTGGACATAGGAGAAAAGTGCAAGAATCAAGGGACCAAGTCTTCCCACCGTGAAGTTGAGCAATTAACTCATTTTTCTTGCTTAGCACTTATTTGCTCACAGGATCAATTAAATGTGTGAAAAACACTCTTTTTCTGAATTGCTGAACAAACTGCTGAGTCATCTCACACTGTTGCTGGCTTAGAAAAGCCATTTAAAGTTTGTTCTTAGACACTGGGGGTGCCTCACTGTGATTCGATTCTCCTGGGGTGTTATCAGCCTCGAGATCAACTGCTGGAAGACGGTGCTTTTAGCAGGAGCCTTTCTTATGTCTCTGAGGGCAAGCTCTGGTGCTTGCTAGAAGGCTCCTTCTGAAACTGTAGTTTGGCTTCCAGGAGGGATTTTATGATGCAAATATTTTAAGCACAATTTTGAAGGTTTTGCCATTAAAAACAGTCTTGCATGGCTCAGGGCCCAGCCAACTGCAAACTACATGGGGGAAAAGTGCCATATATCGCTGGCAAGTGACAGGAAGGAAAACAACACAGATTTCTAAACCAGTCATGACCTTGGCCAAAGATCTGGTTTCAGGGTTCAGTTCATATCTGACTTGCGTTTATTCAGCTCTAGTTGTCAGCAGCAACATTCTTATCACGGTTGTTTA